TTTTCCACCAGAGCTGCAACTTCAGGGTTATCTCTTAATCTCCTGTCATAGCGAAACATTCTTACTGGTTTCCTTTTCTTCAAATCCAACGTAGATACCAGAGGTCGATGGTCTGAAGCTTCAAATTTGAGGTAGTGTGAGCGTGCTCTGGGGAACAGATCAGACCATTTCGAGTTTGCCAAAGCCCTATCAAGGCGACAGTGGACTAGATGCGAGTGTCTTTGGCCTCTCCAAGACAGGTAATTGCCCGTATGCTTTAAGTCGAAAAGGTCACAAGAGGATAAGAAAGATCTAAAGGTAGCAAATGAACTTTCAGGTCTCTCATTTCCCCCAGTTTTCTCTGAGTTGCAGATGATATCGTTAAAGTCTCCAGTTAGGAACCATGGTGTATCTCGAATAATAGCTATGCTCATCAATTGGTCCCAAACAGCTTGCCTATTGGTGGGCTCAGGAGCCCCATAGACAAAAGTGTTGTGGAAGGAGGTATCCTTGTAGCAGATAAGAGTGTCTATGAAATTCTGCGTGGATGAGAGAACCTGGAGTTTAACATCAGAGTTCCAGAAAAGTCCCAAACCCCCTGATCCAGGTGATGAGGGGGAATACAAGAAGTTGTTGTCAAAACTCAAAGACTCAAGTTCACTAAGGACAAAATCGTCCTGGTTCTTTGTTTCAGAGATAAAGAGAATGTCGGGACAACATTGGTTCATCAATTCCTTGAGCCTCAGAACTGTTGCGGGATTGCCAAGACCGCAACAATTCCAGCTCAAAACCACTAAGGAAGCTGATGCTGATTTAGCCGAAAATCCTGGTTGGATTCATCGGCAGCAGAGGCAGAGGTCGTAGGTAGAGGGGGCAGGGATGAACCTGGAGCTGCATCTAAGTGTCCCGATGGAATTGGAAGTATCGGCGAGGAGTGAGGGAAACCATGTCTAGCGTAGGAGTGAGATTTATGAGAGAACTTTCTCAATTTCGACGAGGCCCCCGTACCTTGCATTGGACTGGAAGTTTGCCTACTTGATCTTCCGTGGTGTCCCCTAGGTCTTGGTATAGATGCAGGCCTTCGATCTTCAGGTAGAATAGGACGTTGAGCTGCGGCTGGAGAATCAGAAAGGAGGTGCTCTGAAGGGAGCTGGTTCTCAGACGTTTCCGTCCGAAGAAGCTGCGAGTTAGATGCCCCTGCAGCCAAAGCTGTAGACGCTGCAAGCATAATGCTATCAGCTGCTGCCTCCACATCTCCGTTTTGTTCACTAAGGAGGATACGAGCTCTTCTAGCAGCACTTTCAACGGGGTCCTCACAATTTGCGTACTGGCGAGCAGCCTTGTGAAGATCGTTCATCACTTCGTCCCTTGTTTGGGGTCTGGCTGGTGGAGAGGGGAAGTCACACAGATCTAAGTTCCTTCCCAAAGGAGCTCGTGGAGTGTCTTCTATCTGGTGGACCGGCGCAGGAGTTGAAGGAATTGTGTCAGCGTGTCTCCCAGGTGGAGTAACTTGTCTTTCTCTCCATTCTCTATGCGTACCCTGAGAGTTTGAGGGGTTAGAGGTGTGAGTTCGGGATCTATTTTCCTCTTGTCTGTAGGGGTGTCTTGAGGTGTCAGAAGGCCTTGGCCTTTGGTCTCTGCTATGCCCGTTAGAAGGGCGCCTTGCAGGGTTAATCGGAGTAATTTGTTTGACAGTGGCTGTCCTTTAGCAGGGGGGAGTGGAAGCCTGTCTCCAAAGGGCCTACCATGGCGATCCACTCTAGATCTGAAGTTAGATAATAATAATACATGTACTCATAGGGTGCCAATGGCAACATACATTAGCATGCATATTTATATGACAGCGACGTACGTTGTCAAGACGTGTAAGATATTTTAATAATATTTTGTATTTTTGGCTAACTAATTGAAAATGAAGTAATTTTATGCTAAATCATGACTTACCTAAAGCATATATGTATGTGTATGCCGAGTGTATTACAGTGATGAAATTTAAGTTAGTTAGTTGATTTTAAACTAATAAATCAAGGGTCACGCAAAGCATTACGCGTGCCAAAGTGTATCAACTAATAAAATTAACTATCCACGTACGTAACTTGTTAACTTACGCATTGCCTAAAAAAATTGTGACCATCTGTATACAATATTGAGAGAAAGAGAGGTTTTCCTATTGTGAATTTGTGATATATCATCATTTAGAACCAATAAAGTTAACATAGGTTACTTAAATGCACATATAACTTCTAAAGCATATAAGTAAAGTATTCTCTTATTTTTTCAGACACTAAAATATTGTGGATTTTGCTAATTAAAATTATCAAAAGTAAAGTTGTTCTTCCGAAACTGTTGTGACCATTTTAGTTAAGAAACAAGTCATTACTAACTTTAGTTCAAGTAATTTAAAGATGGATGTGATGCACCTACAGAGTCAAGAGAAGTAAGAGAAACATAGCACAAAGAGATTGAGAGTGAACATTAACCAGAAACAGTTGAACCAAGAAGATCAAACCGGTAAAGAGTGCCAAATCGGAAGTATGATTAAGTCAAGTAGTTGCTATTTATTTTTCTTATTTCTCTGATGAATTTCGGTTGCACAATAAGGGTAGAATTGTTCATCCTTGTGTTTAGGATCCATCTTCCCCACTATTTCCACTTTCCATGTTTCTAGGAGTTGATACTCCAAGCTTTGTAATTTACTATTTAAGTTCATGTTATGCAATGAAAAAAGGTAGACTTCTACCACCAAAACAAATGTGTTATTGAGATAAATCTTTGAATACAATATGTGGGACCAACACTTAGTATCAGAGCATTTATTCACAGTTTTTTTTCATTTTCTAAAACAGTTGTCGTGACTTACTTTAATCATGGACAGCCACAAGGAGAGGATATCTGATCTTGAAACTGCTGTTGGCATGGTGCAAGACGAGATCTCCCAAATCAACGAAGAGATCCGGAGCATGGAACAATCGTTTAAACAGATGCTATCCGAGGCTGTCTCGAGCATCCACGAAGGTGGTTCCAGCGCACCACGAGCTAATCGCAGACCAGAAGGAAGCCACCCATCGGCTTCTGTCCAGAGGGAGCACACAAACTTCTTCGCACCAGCACTCGCACCTAGACCAGCCAAGTTAGAGTTTCCTAAGTTCTCAGACGGTGACCCTATAGCTTGGCTCAGCAAGGCGAAGCAGTACTTCAGCTATCAGGATATGCCGTATGACCAACGTCATACGAATTCGCTTTGCTTCGTATCATTTAAACGACGAGGCTAACGAATGCTGGCAGGAAACCACGAAAGCCCTCAATGAAGATCAGACACCAATCACCTAGGATGTGTTTGAGGCTGAATTGTGGGCTCGTTTCGGACCAACCGCTGTGGAAGATTTCGATGAAGCACTATCCAAAATACGGCAGACTGAGACATTGAGGGAGTACCAACGGAGTTTGAGCGACTACAGAATAAAGTGTCGGGATGGACAAAGAAGGCGTTACTCGGAACGTACATGGGTGGCCTCAAGGATATGATATCTGACGGCATTCGTATGTTCCAACCAAAAATGTTAAAAGGGGCCATTGAGCTTGCAAGGATGAAGGATGAGCAGTTGCAGCGACATCGGCGTTTCACAGGATTCACTAATAGAACTCAGCGAACTCCTCCAACAATACCACCGGCACCAAATCCATCGACTAAAGAAAATAACTACGGGAATCCTAAACGCTTGAGCTGGGATGAAATCAAAACGAAAGAGGAGTCTAGGACTCTGTTTCAGTTGCGACGAACGATATACGTTAGACCATCGTTGTCAAAAGTCCCAACTTCTTCTGATCGAAGGGATTGAGGATTCTGAGAGCGAGGATGATGAGGAAGGGTTGAAGACTGAGGAACCTGAAATTACTCTGCAGGCCTTAACTGGATGGGGTTCGCCGACAACTATACGCACCCATGCCGAGATAAGCCGACAAAAGCTGGTGGCTTTGATCGATAGCGGATCGACCCATAATTTTGTCACCGACAAGGTTGCCTCACGTTTTCACCTCAAGCTTTCCTCTGCCAAACCATTCCACGTACGTGTTTCTGATGGGCATCTGATTCGTTGCACTGGGATTTACAGGGATGTGCCTGTGACCATTGACGGAGTTCACTTTCGGATTGATCTTTACCCATTATCGATTAAGGGTCAAGTTCTCGTGCTCGGAATGCAATGGCTACAACAATTGGGACCGACGCTGTGTGACTGGACGGCGCAGATGATGAGTTTCTCGTGGGCCGAACATCAACAAATTATTCATGGGCTTCAAGGGCGCTCAATTTTGCAAGCCCAAATGAAGGATATATTACAAGACATAAAGTTGGGCCAGGCCTGTTTTGCAATCTCCCTACCACAAGGAGACGACACCGTTTTAGAGATCCCTGCAAAACTCCACACCTTTCTCAAAAGAAAAGAAAAAATCACTAATTTGATGAAACATTGTTGTATAACTCTTGACTTCTCATAGAGGTTTAACCAAAATACAATTTCCACTAATTGCATAACTCTCCCACAAAGCCCACTCTTTCTCTCCTTTTATACTCGAGTCTAGTTACAATGAAATCTAATAAATCCAACAACTAATAGTTCAACTGAAAAACAACTCTTTCACAAAGACATCTGATCCTTCAGATTTCTCCTCTGCCTTCTGGTATAAGCCCTCCATGGCATATCAGTCTCAAAGTATTTGCGCGCTTACAACAAAATATAAAGACCATATATCGAAATGTGACAACTTCATTTTGTGACACACTGACACGTATAAAAGAATAAGTACGGGAGTAAATTACAAAATGTATGCATTTGTAGACCAAAAATATAATCCTTAAAGAGACAACATCTTCCAAAACTGGAACGAACCATTGCTTATGCTAACTTATATATGATGCATTTTCCAATGGAACAGAACGTGCTCAAGACTTGGATCTTTAATTTATTCTATGTTTCCTTTCTTATAACGCAAACAAGAGTTTTACTCCGACACAAGATCCATTATATTGGTTGCTTCCCCTCAACAGGCTCGGTAATAGAACTTTTTACCGTCTGCGCTTGCCTATTTTGTCCACCACCCTGCAATCAAAGTTACATAACATCTCTATAAAAAATCTTTAACTTCTCTCATCATAAGAACAGTTATCACTTTTTTTGTTTGCAGTTAACTCACAGCTCCCTTTTGTGCAATCAATCTCCTGCTTGAAGGAGCTCGAGCTATTGACGAGGCAGCAGCTGCTGCTGCTACTCGAATCCTGCAATGAAGACAGATTTTATCAGTCGCTAAAAAAGTTGTTACTAATGACATAAGTGATTAACCGAACCTTTTATGTACGTCAACATATTCATCAGTTTCATCCACAATCTCTTCCTGCAAAAGCTCTTCAAAAACATCTTCCAAAGTGATGATACCGATAACTTCACCATCCTCGATATCCTCTGAAGTATGTGTGAAGCCGTGTGGAACAGTCTCGTTGTTTGGATAGAACGACTGTCTATTAGCCTTGTCGATTTGGACAATGACATTGTCGTGGTTCCCTTCTCGTTTCAGTAAGAGAGGTGCAGTCAAATCCGAGTCATTGCTTTCTTCAGAGTTTTCTTCAAGCAAAGTTGAAGGAGGAACTTTGTTTTTGCCCTTAACCTTCACAACTGCAGCCATGTGACTGCTTCCTTTTTGAAACTCATTTAGTATATCGTACAGAGGCATATCAGCTGGAACCCTATTGAAGCAATAAAACATGAATCACACAATACTAAAAAAAGGAGTGAAAGGTCAAATATAGTAATGGGGAAACCTTGGCATTCTACGTATACAAACCGCGCTGACAAGTGTCTCTGTTTCAGGTCGAACTGTCAGTAGACTCTTTACCTAACAAAGACAAGAGTTTCTTGATTACTACAGTATGCAAAAAAAAACATGATAATCCACCATTGAAACATTCAAGTAAAGAGTAAGCAACACTTACCAAGAGAAGTCCAATAACGTTTTTAGGATTCCCAGAGTAGACAGGAACTCGGCTATGGCCTCGTGCCAGAATCTTACCCATAGCTTCCCTGTGAGGTCATTTTACACACAAAGGACACAAGAGTCAAAGATAGTTTGCAGAAACAAATGTCATGCAAGAGTTTCAGTCTTTCAGAAACAACAATAAAAGGAACATTGAGAGAAGCATGAGAGTTGAGAACCAAACTCACCAGTCCAATTTTGAATTTACATCCAAGGAGAAGGTTGATTCGATTGGAGTCATGGCTTCTTGTGCAGTCTGTCAAAACCAAATACCACTTTTGCATGAATCCGTGATTCAGGAAATCATTCAAGAAAGTGTGATATCAGAGATACCTTCTCGGTCAAATCAAGTGCTCCACTAATAATTGTTGTCTCATCATGCGTAAGTTCACCTCCCTTGCCAGCCTAAAACACAATAGTGCCAAATTAGTCTCCAAAAGTAGTCTCAAGCATCTCTGCAGAGTTTTTATAATATACCTCTTGGCTGTGAATGGAGACAAGAGCTTTCAACTGAGCACGTCTAAACAAAGCGTCATTGTGTCCCAATACCAAATCCAAGATCTACTCCAAATGCACAAATGACGTTAGAACCAAGAAAAAAAAAGAAGTCAGAGAATGATTAAGCAATCAGAGAAAGAATAGTTACAAAATACATTCAAAGAAATAGCATAGTAAAGAAGATTTACCTTGCCAATGGGAAAGGCAATAGGGTAGCAGAGAATCATTAAAATGCGGACAAGCCAGACGAAATTAGCTCCAACGGCGAGTCCATACCTAGTGCATATCGCTTGAGGTATAACCTTTTAACAATATGTTCAAATCAGTCCATTCTTTTGATAAAAAAAAAACCATAAACTTTAAGATTTTGCTAAAAAAAAAAAAAAAAAAGCATACATACCTCACCGAAAGCGAGAACGAAAGTGACAGAAAGAATAATGGCAACGTATTCATTGAATAACTTATCCAAATATATAGGAAGCCCCTGCCACAATTCCCATAGACACACCATGTAAACAACACCTCACTTTCGAATAAAGAGAATTAAACATACCTCCATTGCAACAGCATTGCACAGAAGCAGTGTCACTAAAAGCTGATGCTGTTTCTGAACAACCGGGAATATCGCAGCTGAAGAGAGAAATCAAGATCAGACCAAAATTCAAATAACCAAAAAATTGATTGTGAAACTAGAAAACAAGAATTGAAGAATTAAAGAGAGAGATTACAGGCTTGTTGCTTTTCCTTGGGAGTGCCACTGCGTTGGAGAATCTCGAGCTCGACGAGACCGAGAGACATAAGCCCCAAAGTCAGACCAGACATGATTCCCGCGAACAGAACGAGGAAACAAGAGACTCCTGCGTAGATGAACCACCACGGCGATCCAAACGGGATCGACTCCCCTCCTCCGTTGGATTGTCCGAATCCGGACAGCATCCTCGCCGCCGCCACAGCATTGATCAGATGCATTTTTTCTTACTTCCTCAAATCCTCAAAAGGAGAGATAAAAAAATAAAGCAAAAAGGGGCCTGAGATAATTAATTATTTTAAGACTTTATACGATGAATCTCTGTTTCTGTTTCTGTGAATCGGTAGAAGACACATCTCACCAACTTATCTGATTCAGTTCAGTACAACTTCTAGGACAAACGGAAGAAAATATCAAGTAAAATTGAAAATTGACCCCTAACTATTATGTTTAATTACAAATGACCCCAATACTTTATTTTTGTCGTTAAGCTCCTCCCCACTTGTACAATTTACAAACGTCAGATCGTAGCGTATAGGGCTGGGCATCATTACTCGTTACTCGCCTTAAACTCGGTATTTGACTCGTACCCGCCTTAAAAATTCAAGTACTCGGTGTTGTCAAGGCAAGTAACAAGGCAACAATTTTCATTACTTGCAAGACTAAGTCAAGTATCAAGTATCATTATTATATTTTGTATTTGACTCGTTCCGCCCCGCTACTTGTTCCATTACTTGCTATTTGTTACATAATCTATTAATTAGTTTTTCATATTTGTCTTTTCTTTTACTTGCATTTAGGACTAAACATAAATACACACTAGTCTTCTTATTTTTGTTACTTATTTTGTATCCAATCTTGATCTTTGAATACTCGTCGTTATCTAGTCAAGTATTACACAGCAACAAATATTAAAGATTTAGTAATATGATTTGTTATTACTTGTTACTTATCTATAGAAGATATTCTTGTTATCGTGATCATTATACAATGTTTATATACCATAATATGCATTTTTAATTGATTTTTTTTATAATATGAACAAATATTCTATTTAAAGTAATTTACATGTTACTTTAAAATAAACAAAATAAATTTTCATGTCTATTTCTAACAGAATATTATTTAGTTAGGAGTTGTTAAATATTTCGAAAAAGCTCGTAAATAGTGCACAAGTACTCGTAAATAGTAAGTAAAAGAGCAAGGCAAGTAACTTGCAAGTCGTTTATTTTTCATCAAGTACTCGAAATAGTAAGTACTCGTTTTAAACAAGTCAAGTACAAGTCGAAAATTTTATTATTCGTTCAAGGCAAGTCAAGTCGCGAGTACATGCAAAATAGCAAGTACTCGCCTTGCGCCCACCCCTAGTAGCGTAGCGTGTTCATATAATCTCATAGGAGTTTTCTTTTGAGGCAACAATATTTATGTAAGACCAGAAAACACTTAATTTGTGGTGTCAGTTGTAAAGTGATATGGAAGGGTGAACATGATATCTAAAATTGATCCCTTTAGAGAAGAAAGAAATTGGATTTCTTTTTACTAATAAAGGTTCTTGTCAGTACAATGTAAAAGAACAAGAAAACAATAGCAACACGCTCGAATTTAACTTACATTCCTTTGTCTTCTTAGTTTAGCTTTAAAATCGAAATTTTCACTCCCATGTAACCGAAATCATCGAATTAGCGAGTCCATATTCGTCAAAAGTAGCATTAACTTCATAATCAATAGTCTTTGAAGCACCAGGAATCGCTTGTACCAACCTAAACGCCTTCTTCTCAGACTCCACCATCTGAGAATGACAGAAAGACCATAGAAGCTGAATAGGTTCGCTCTTGAGAAACCTCCTCTGCTTTCTTCTCCCATCTGGAAACCGAAAACATAGACTGCACACAAGGCTTTTGTCACAGTCTCCCTTTGGCTCTTCTGTTAAATCTGGATACTCTAAACAAGTTTCCTCCTCCTTTACTTGATCACACTCTTGAAATTCACAGTCTTCTTTTGCCTCTTCTATCATATCCGGCAAGTATAACCCATTCTCTTCCTCCTTCACTTCAAATCCGGGACTCACAGAAGGAACATTGTTGTTGCTTGTAGACCAAGTCTCCCCGTTTTCAAACTCTTCCCCCCAAGAAGGAGCTTCTATATTGTTGCTTGACGACCAATTATCCTCCTTTTCAAACTCTTCACCCCAAGAAGGAACCGGGACTTGATCAGTGTTGTTGCTTGACCAACCAATGTCTTCCACCTCCTCCTCCGTTTCAGGGCGTCTGCTCCTTATCAAAGAATCAATGTGTTCATGAGGACCAGCCTCCAAGAACCGCGACAAATCCTCCACAAAACTCTGAGCTTCAATGACGCCGCTCCACATACGCATCTTCTGACCAGTGACGGGATCGATTACAAGCACAACAGGTGGAGCAGAGTCGATTTTGTAGAAGTTGGATATTTTCTTTCCTTCGATTGTATTATCATAGACCTGCCACAAGACGAAACACACAACAGCTTCTGAAACGGTGTCGTTCGCCCATAAATCTCGATTGAGCGTGTGAGAAGCAAACTCTGTTCTGGACTGGAGATTCACTAGCAACCATAGATTCTGCTCACAACAAGTCGATTTCGCTTCTTCAAACGTACGACCGTGGAAAAGCAAGTCTACAGGAGGACGAAACATGGAAGACAGCGTCGAATCTGACCCTCCATCATCAAAGGTCTCATCGTCGTAACTTTGCGCATGATCCTCGTTATACATAGAAGGATCATAGTTGTTGTCGTGGAGAAACAGATTGATGGATTCTTCTATGTTCCAGTTCGTTGTCTCTAAGAACCTTTGAGCGGTTTCGACGGTCTGGCCGACAGCGACTTCGAGGAAGGAAGAGATTAGTTGATCGTGTTGTTGTTCGATACGATTGTTGAGGAAGAGATTGATTTCTTCCTCAAGCTGCGACCTTGTTGTTATCACTTGGTTTGTGCTCGAAAAAGTTATCCCCATTGTTGCTGTTGTGAGAGGTATCAACAAGTTGTAGGGTTTGGGTTTGTTTATATAGATATCTTGAAAGAGATCTGTTTCCTTTTCTGTTTATATAGATCTCGATAAACATAAAACTTGTGAGATTTGTTTCCTTTTCACGTAAGCCGTCTCAAATTTATTATATTGATCAAATATGGAAATTGGACTTTTATTTTTACAAATGTTTTTAGATATAGGATCCTAAAAGTTTAAAACACAAAGAAAAGGTGATAGAAATTGTTAAAAAGAAAAAAAAAAGTTAGAAAAAAAAGTGATAGAAAACCGAGACCCTGTGCATATGCAATGTTAGCACATGACTAAAATGGAAATTTCATGTATAGTGGAAATGAAATTTTGTTTTGGATTTACATTGTATGATTAATATTTTCATTTTTTCTTGAAATATACCGCCTTTACAATTATTTTCAACGTATCTATAGATGGGATTTTATTTTAGATTAACCATAATTTATTCATATTAATTTTATGGATGAGTTTAGATTTTTAATGGACAAGACTTTCTTTAAACATTCATTTAAAAATAAAAAGTTACATTACAAAATAATATGGTTTTATTATTACTGTTATTTTTTTATTCTTTTCAAAATTATAGTTGGTGAAAATTTATTACAAATAAATTTCATATCTTACCTTGAACCAATTTTAAAATGTATGTAGTTTTGCTTAGTAACATTTATATTTTCAGAAAATATATTCATAGACACATTTTGAGTTTCTAATTTCATTCTAGGACATATTGTGCTTGTTGCACACTTTTTGTTCAGAGAAAGATTTTAATGTCCCTAACCAAAAAAACACAAGAACTGACTAACTTTGTAATATCTTACAAATAAATCCCTAATTACATGTTTTTCTTTTCTTTTTCTAATTAAAATCTATCTTTTCAAGTATCCTTTTTTCAATGTATCTTTTTTTCAATTCAAATCTAAAAAACTCGACACCTCTGGCAACATCACTAAAAGCTTCTTATAATCTTACCATTGTTAATTCTAATTCTCTTAATAGCTTCATCAACACCTCCAACAATACCGGTTTTGCGTTATGTTCGACGACGTGATGAAGGCACTGTAAAAATCAAACCCATCTTATGGAGGAGCACGACCGGATCAGGAGCTTTTTTCCCTAACCCGAAAGATACATGGTTCTCAAGCAACGAAATCGAAAATGACCGTGAGAAGGGAAGGTCTTGTGGGTCTGAAGTTGGATCCGAGCTTGGTGGGTCTAAAAGCCAGATTCAGAATCAAAGATTGAGGAGGATATAACTGGTTCCGACATGGTCGTCGCGCTCTGAATCCGTGGTGGTCGTCATGCTTTGAATCTGTCGTGGCGGCCGGCTTCGTTGTCACTTCAGGCAGTGGAATATCTCGAACAACAATGGTGAATGTCTTACACATTTGATCCTTTAAGTTTTGGCTATTCACAGTTTGGCCACCAAATTTGTGAGTTAGCTTATAAATCTTATTGATTTAGTCCTAAATTTCTAATAATGCATTCTAGCCCTATTAACCATTCTTCTATCCACAAAACTCACATGTGGTATCCACATGTTCTATATCCATAAAAAAGCTAAAAAATAGAATTTAATATAAAATATTAATATATGAATATCATAATAAAAAGAAAGAAAACATACATTTTAATATATTATATATATGTTTTTATATATTAGAAAAATGGTAAGATGATTAGGAATATGATAATCTTGTCCACAAAAACACATACATAGATCTTATTCTATGAAACCCCACCCATGAAACTTTTTAAGATTTGGAACTTCATCAAACTTACAATAATGACATATATGAAATTATGTGAATTTTTATGATGAGTTATTAGGATTAGCATAGATTGCTTCATAATGTCTGAATATCCATTTCTTCCACGTTATTCTTCACACATGTCCACATCTTCTCGAATACATTTGTAATGTCCATATCCGCACTATTTTTGTATAAAGATATATATATATATATATATATATATATATATATATATACATATATATATATATATGAAATAGATGTTAAAAATAAATAATTATATATTTAATTTATTGTATTAATTATATTTGTTTTATATGTTTTAAAATTTGAGATAGAAATAAATAAAAACATAACTGAAATAAAAGAAACAATAATAACATGAAATATAAAAGAACCAAAAAAATTCCAATAGATTATCCACATATTTTTTGTCCACGTTCAAAACACATATCCAATAAGTTATAATTTGAAAATTTTGGTTACAATATTAAAATATAAAATAAATGTATATGGATATCAAAATAATAAGAAAAAATATAAGTGTACAAATTACTCTAGCCATAAAAATATATATTTATTCACATATTAGAAATTAAAATAAAAATGAATTAAACATGATGGGAGGATATAAGGGTACAAATTACTCTAGCCATAAAATCTCATTTTACTTTTCCATCCAACCGTAGATAATAAACCATGTTTTTTTGTACATCTCAACGTAGCTTAATATTTATTGCAAGTCAAATAAATTATAACTAGAAAAAAACAAACTATTCAGATGCCTAGCCAAAATAAATAAAACAACTATACTCTTATGTTTCTTTTCTCTTGGCACAGAGCATTCTCGTCCAAAAGCGTCTCGATTTCTGTAATACGTGTGCCTCCAATACATTGTGTTTTATAGTGTTAAAAAAGTTAGAAAAGTGTCCTAAAGAGTAATCGACCCATATTTTCGTTGGTACTTTCAGGCCTTATGGGTCTACTACTACAGGCTTTAAAACATGTTAGTTTTTCTACTTCAAACATACAATCATCCTGGAGGTGAAGTGATTATCATTATGTATGCAGTTGCTGACCTAAGAGTTTTTTTAACCAGAATTAATACATAATTTAAATAATTGTTTTTTAACAAATATGAAATATAAATTATTTAACAAAAACATCCTACAAGTTTTTCGTTTTTAATTTTCCAAAATACTATCTTCTGACCAAATTTATTAAATAATGATCCAAGAACTAATCTCCAATCCAATTTCGTCGATTTATCTTCAAGATATTCAAGGCTGATTTTTTTTTCTTAACAGTTGGAGTGGCACAATCCAAAATCAAAATCAACTTCTAAAGCCTATAAACCAAATCAAATGAGATATGCTTTTCTTGTTTCCACCAAAATATGAGCAAGTTCTCCAAGATATTGTAAATGAGTAAACTTCTTGTCATTTTGAATGTTATTAATATAGATATATAATTGTTGGTCAAGCAATATGCATTTTCCATAACTAAAGTCAGATGGGTAGAATATCGATAACCTCATCAATTTTGTACGGTGATAATGAGAGAATGAAGCAATGGAAAATAAAGAAAACAACACAACTAAGCAGTTTGATGTTTACTTCACTAAACCGATCGTTGAATTCTTGAGGTGGCAAATCCAAAATTTCATATATGCAATTGACCTGATAATGATATTCATTTGTTACTTCAGTTTTTTTTTTCCTTGTCTCTCTTGTACAACTGCAACTTTTGTCCATGTCAACATCCGCCTGATAACAATAAGTCCTTCCCCAACAATGACAGACGAGGGTGGGGACCAAAAACGTCAACTCTCTGAGGATTCATTTTCCTAGAAGATGAAAGTAAAAATTCTTGAAAGAGAAGATGTGGAAGACGTTCGAGTTTTTCTAACTTAAATAAAGAAGAAAGGTTTTCTTTCTCAGGAAGATGCGGAAGAGACTGAAAGATCAAGAGAGACATTTATATGGACTCTGCGTTATCGATTAACTCGAACCCCACAGATCAAGCAAACCATCTGAATCTTGAAGAAATCATTATTCAGCAGTTTGCGAGGCGTGAAGAAATGATTTGACGTCCCTCAGCCCTGATCTGTTCGATATGTGAGTATTCACTGTCATCCGACGGACGAGAACAAAGCAGGGCCTTTACTTTCTACACCTGTTAGAATTGACCATGCATCATCTAATGGGCTAGGGGAAAACTGTTGGAACATAATTTATCAACTAAATCCGGTCCAGAAAAGGCCCAACGCATAACAGACTGAATCATGAATCTGTCAGCAAAACCTAACTATTCTGACCCAAAGGATTACCTCACAATTCGAGGTAGCGAGCTCCAAGTTTCGATAAGGGCAAATGACCCTGTCACCTAATGATCAAGCGGTTACCAAAAAAGCCGAGATCTTCGGAGTTAGACACAACACGTGTGCCCTAGATACACAAAGTAGTTGGAGCGAGCTGATCAACATATAAGGAAAAGCGAAGACCACAAAGAGAGAATCGGATATGAAGCACACACCATGAGTCGAGATCAAGATTATTCTTTCACTTTGTTCTCTTAAGCTTTGTTTCTTGTGTATTTACCTATTCACTTTATTCAATATATTTTAGTCCAGTCGTGCAAACTATCTTTAACGTCTATTCATAGAGACCTTTTCTCACCGTTTTCCTAAACCTAACTCTGCATCAATCAAATTTCTGATTGTGGATTTTAGCTCCCATAGATGGTGATAAATTTAATCCATTTGATTACGTACATAGTTAAAAATTAGTTGTAATATTGCTACTATTTGTGACCACTGTAACTTGTTGGAAACACATCTCAAATTAAGGTCACTGATTTTTGGACTTTTGTCCCACATTTACAAATATTATATGACATACTAGGGGAGGAACGCGCTTCGCGCAGTGAGTGGATTCGTTAAGTATTTGACATGAAATTTTTTTAATTTATATATTTTGTCTACGGTATTAATTATGTAAAATCGCTTTATATAAACTTGCAGTAAATTGAACTTCAAAATTGTTTCAGTTAAGAATGTTTATGATTTTTTAGAATGTTAGAGTATGGAGAGATTATGTATGTTAAGATTTATTATGTTTAATTTAGACTTTTGTGTCTATATTAATAGGTTGCAGCGTATATCATATTATATTGGTTGGATGGGGTGTAGGTACTGTTTTC